TTAAACTATTAGATTAAAATTAAAAATATTACTCTGTCACTAAAAATGATGGCCCACACCTTTTGAGATTAAATAAATGGATCTTAAGGTGATCATGCTAAATGATATGAGTGAGAAAGAGAATTACTGGGTGGTTCCACTTATACATGAAAGATGAACAACAAAAACAAACATAATGGCAAAAACTCCCAGAAAAAGTAAAAACTTGACAGTCACCAAAAAAATTGGGCAGTGGGGAAAAATGAGTAGAGGTTTTGCTTTATTTGGGGGGCACCACCCAGAAGTGCTCAGGGCTTACTCCTGGCAGTGCTTGGGGAACCAAATACGGTGCCAAGGATTGAGGCAGCATCAGCAGCAAGCAAGGCAAGCACCTTACTGCTGCACTATCCCCCAAACCATAAAGGGATCTTTTGGTGGTAGGATGAATAGCGCTAGAATTCTGATGGTGAGAGCAGTGACATGAAGAGGCATGAAGCTAAAACCCTGAAGTTCCTTAATCTTGCAAACCAATTATGTGAATGAAAAAACAAATTTAAAAGAAAGAAGAAGAGGAATTGGAAAAGTTAGCTTAAAGGACTAAAAACATATTCCTTGCATGCACTAGGTTCTAAGTTTGATGAAGAGTAAAGAAGAGAAACAAAAAAATAATTTTAAAAAGCAGAAATATAAACAGGAGAAAAACAGTCTGAAGGTTTTACCTAACAATACTTTATCTGCAAGACAACAGCGCACTCTGCTGGACCTACTTCTCTTCAACATGCTGCAAAACTAATAAATTTAATAAATGTAGGGTCAGGGAGATGGCCTAAAAGGCTGGAGCACATGCTTTGTATACAGAAGCCCCAATTCCCATCCCTAGCACCACATGGTACCCTGAGCACCACTAGAAGCAACTCAATTACCAAACTTGTGAGACACTAAGTGTGGCTCCCAAAAATAAATGAGACAAAACAAAATAAATAAGAGGCAAGAGTGATAGTATAGCAAATAGGGTGTTCACCTTGCTGAACCAGGTGATACCCCAAGTGTTTCCCAAGCCTGCCAGGGGTGAGCCCTAAACTCAGATTGGAGTAAGCCGTGCGCACTGCCAGGTGTGGCCCCAAAACCAAAATCATGGGGAAAAAATAATAAATGACATGCTATAGTGCAGCAGATAAGCACTTGTTTGCATGTAGCTGACCTGGTCAATCCCTGGCACCCCAAATGGTCCCCAAGTATGCTAGGAGTTATCTCTGAGCACAGCGCCAGGAGTAAGCCCTGACCACCACTGGGTATGGTGCAAAGAAAAAAAAAAAAACAAGAAAAAAAAACTGTTAGTCTTGTACTTTCAAAGTAGGTGCTGTATGCCACAGAGTTGAAGCCCCAACAGCAGGTTTTCTTAGCAATTCACTAAAATTTACAAATTTACCAGCAATTTACTGTAATATTAAAGAGAGAATCAGGGAGTATGGTGACGCCAATAGGTCAACCTGTACCTGCAGGGCAAGTGTGTCAGCAGCCTGATGTTGCCGTCAGGCTTCCTGATACTTCCAAATCGCTGCTCTGCCTTTGGCCAGACCCCAACAACTTGGAACCAAGTTTAGCAGGAAATAAACGGCCAAAAGTTAGGTATGTGGGAGCCACACCCTCAAACCACCTCCAGCTCAACTATACAAGCTCACTCAGAGTTGGGATGGGCTACCATCCCCACTTACCAATACACATGGAAGAACTGGCAGTCACCCCCACGAACCAACTCCAGCACCACCTTGTAAGCTCTACTATCAGCCTTGCCTCAGAGACCCCTAAGTGAATCTCGAAGAGATCAAAAGCCGCAGTTAAGCTCGGACCCATACATGGCTGAACAGACTGGAGTAAACTGGAGGGGGCGGGTTGGCCTGTGCCTGCCCAAGCAGAGCCCCCGGCAGCCACTTGCTTCCACAGTCCAAAATTGCTGCCATACCCCAAGCCTGACTCCACTGTCTCAGGATGGGCCTCACCAAGATATAATCTGCTGAAAATTTTGTAATGGGCATCTTAGCACACCAACAGCCCCGGTCCAGAAACAAAGAGGCAAGTCCTGGAAGACACCACAGCGCTGAAGATGTCTTCAGGCCCCAGACTGCGCCAATATCACTGGGGCACCCCAGATGGAGCAGGTGCAGTCTCCCTGCCTACTCCAGATGGAATCCCAGTGACCAAGAGCTTCCATAAGCAAGGCCCAGATATGCAGGTTCCAGGACTAAATCTCCAGGCAGCATGCAGCAGAGGACCCGGGCTGTCCCTCCCCAGGTCCCTGCCCGCCAGGAAGACTGGCAGTCATGCCCACAATTAGCCTCTGGGCACCATCTTAGCACACCAACAGCTCTGGCACAGAGACACAGCAGTAAGTCCCAGATGACACTACAGTGCCAGAGTTCTCTCCAGGCCCCATACTGAGCCAATATCACCGGAACACCCCAGATGGAGCAGGTGCAGTCTCCCCGCCTACTCCAGATGGAATCCCAGTGACCAAGAGCTTCCACAAGCAAGGCCCAGGTATGCCGGTTCAGGACTAAATCTCCAGGCCATATGGCAACAGAGGACCTGGGCTGTTCCTCCTCGGGTCCCCACCCTCCCAGAAGATTGGCTGTCACGCCCACAATTTGCCTCCAGACGCCATCTTGGTGCACCAATAGCCCTGGTCCAGAGACTCCCAATTGAATCCCAAAATGGATTAGTGAAAAAAGAAGGATTAATGCCATACAGATATATCATCAGAACCCAACAATTTACAATCTAGAAATTTACATTTACAATCGTGGCCACACAAGCTCTCATGATATTCGAAATTAGCTATGGAAAATGTATTGTCTATTATCTGCACCTGAATGGTGGTGGGAAAATTTGAGCAGAGCTTAATGCCCAAAACTGGAGAGAGAGTATTGGGGAAATTGTCTGTCACAGAGGCAGGGTGAGGACTGCAATAGGACTGCAATGTGTCAGTGTGTGTGTGGGGGGGGGGAGGGGGATGGGAGAATGATACTTGGAACATTGGTGGTGGAATGTGCACTGGTGGAGGGATGGGTGTTCCATCTCTGTATGGCTCAATCTTAAAGATGAAAGCTTTGTAACTTTATCTCACGGTGATACAATAAAAAAGTAATGTGGAGTTCATGCCCAATTCAATCAGCTTAATCAATGGCTGAACAAACAGCAGTACTCCTACATTATTTAAAAAAAAAAAAAAAGAATCAAAATATTCACCAAAATTTTACATTCTGTACTGACTGTAAATCTAATGTAACTGTTTATTCTATTTTTTATGAAGAAAAAATTATATTGAAAATATAAATCATATTATCTAAGTATTTTTGAGTGAGGTTTTATTCTGTCTTATTCTGTTTTTGTTTCGGCTTTTGGATTACAACCAACAGTGTTTAGAACTTACTTCTGGCTCTGCACTCAGTGATCACTCCTGGCACTGTTCAGGGGAATCAGAAGGTGGTTTTGGGGATCCAATTTGGGTTGGCCTCATGCAAAGCAAGTGTCCTACTGTTGTATATTACTCTGGTCCATTTGTAAGGTTTTTATTCAAAAAGTATATATTCAAAAAATGATATATTCATCCTTTTCATTTAAAAAAACCCACAAACAAATATTACAGTTCACCAGTAAGATCTTTTCTATCATTGCAAAATTACTTTGGTATCTTATAAATTTACTTTATACACATTTAATTGGCACAATATAAACAGTATATCTTCTTGCAAACCAAAGTCTGTGACATACCAATGAATGTTATCATTTGAGCTTACAGATATAATTGAGACTTTACTTGTTTAATAAATCTTCAAGCTTACAAGATATTGCAGAAGTCTTTACCTTTAATATTAGGAGTAGAAATAAATCACCTCCTTATAAAAAAAAAAAGTATTCTATTTCTAAAGAAATGAGGAGCTACGCCCTAAGCCAAGGAAGAAAACTCATCCATTCTGATGTAAAATAAACTGTAATTAAGGTGTGGATATAAAACAAAGATCTAACTATATCATATCAATGAGAAAATCACAATAAATACTCAATGTACCACATAACCAAAAGGAAAAATCAGAATACAAGTCTCAGAACTAAGATAGTAGTTCTACTTATGATCAAGTGGTGACTCTATAAGAAGGTTCAGCAATAAATAACCTTAATAGATTTTTTTTATTTTTACTAATTAATTATAAACCTGTAGCACTGTAGCACTGTCCGCCCTTTGTTCATTGATTTGCTCAAGCGGGCACCAGTAAAACATCTCCATTGTGAGACTTGTTGTTACTGCTTTTGGCATATCTCAGGGAGCTTGCCAGGCTCTGCTGTTTGGGCAGGATACTCTCGGTAGCTGGCTGGGCTCTCTGAGAGGGACGGAGGAATCGAACCTGGGTCAGCCGCGTGCAAGGCAAATGCCCTACCTGCTATGCTTCCTTGACTGTGTCCTACATTAAAATTCAAGGAGCCGGAGTGGTAGTACAGCAGGTAGGGTACTTGCCTTGCATACGGACAACACGGGTTTAATCTTCAGCATCCCATATGGTCACCTGAGCCCACCAGGAGTGATCCCTGAGTGTGAAGCTGGGAGAAAGTCCTGAACACTGCCAGGTATGGCTCCAAATAAAAAACAACTCAAGAGTACCATAGAAATACAGTAATAATGAGCACCTAACAAGACCACGCAGAGTCCAGAAAGACAGCTCAAACGGCTGAAGAGCATGCCTTGCATAAATGAGAATAATACTATCACAAGCACTGCATTCCCCCTACACCCTGCAAATCTAGATACACCCCCAGTGTTCCCCAAGAATCACTGGGGTTGCCTTTGTGGACCCCAGTATTTCTTAGCCCAAGCAACACCACATTATCAGGCCTAAGCACCTGTTCATTAAACACACCAGGCCAATGCAAACACACAAAAAAACAAATGTTTTTAATAATTTTTAAGTATATTTAATAAAACCCATATTTTTTTTTCAAACTGAATAATGGGAAAAAATGCTTACGTTCTGTGGAGAAAAGGAGTTCGTCTTTCGTAATGGAGAGCTGGGTTTCATGGGCTTCCCTGAAGCAACTTTTATATCCTCTTTTTTATTAGAGCGACGCTTTCTAATCTGTAAATACAGAATCAAAAGGTAGTTTAAAACTAATGACTAGGCAGGTTAGCTGTTCTTCAATCTCAAAATAGCTAATGTGTGTTTTTAACATTAAAAAAAAATTATGATAGAGGCCAGAAAGATAATACAGCATGTAAGGTATTTGTCTTGCACGTCATCAACCTGGGGTCTATCCCCAGGTTCCCATATAGTTCCCCCAAGTCCTGCCAGGCATGATTTCAGAACACAGAGCCAGAAGTAAGCTCTGAACACTGCTGGGTGTGATCCCAAAATAAAATAAAAATTTCAAATCACAACTTCTAGAAGCCCAGTGAAATAGTTCAAGTAGAACACAAGCCTAGCACAGACGGCCCAAAGGTCAATCCCCAGAACCACAGGACTTTTCCCTACTTCCAGCATAGCCTGTATAGACCTGGTACCTCCTATGTACCTCCAAGCCTGAGCATGGCATTGGGTACACTCAACCAATCAGGCTGGCAGTTCCCTATTAAAATATAACCATTCTGATTCCTCTTGGGTTGAAGCAGTCCAAGTCCCACCCCCCAAAAAGGCACCCCAATTTTGAGGGGCCTGTATTTTTTCTAACAACACCCCACCTCCCACCTGCTTCCACTTTCCCATGCTGCCAACTCTAACCACAATAATGAGCTTGTCTGTTTAGTTCTGTGTGTCATGGAACGTTGTGGAGATGACCCTCCCTGCATGCCTCACCCCTCCCCTTGGCCTCTCCACTCCTGGAGCACTAAGGGACCTTCAATTAAAAAAACACAAGACATTAACACATTGGGTATAGAACTGGACATCACTGCGTGCAAGGCAAGTGCCTTACCCTTTGTATTATCTCTTCAGTCTCTCTCAAATATCTTGTGAGCTTTTTGGGGGTTTCTTGAATAAACAAACAAACAAACAAAAAAACCAACATATTTTTTCTTATGTGCCTTGTGTGTATGAGAATGTGGGTTTGATTCTTAGCATTTTGGGTTTTATTTCCCACATTTCAAAGTACAATCTCAGCACCACAAGAATTATCTCTTCGTACTACCATCACCACAACCATCACCAACAAAACCAACAGAAGACAAAAAGTAACAACACAAGAACAATAACAATTCAGAATAAAAAATCTTAAATGTGAATGTTCATGATTTCTTACAGAGCAGAATAAATTAATTACTATCACTTACTAGACATTTAACAATTATGTTACTAAATTTACTTCATTAAAACTATGAAGTCAGCTTTCTGGACTGTCTACTATTTTCTCTACTTGTTAAAACCTATTTACTGGCAGAATCTCCTGCCCCTGCACCAGGCTGTCTTCACCGAGGCCCCTCAGTTTCCCTCCCTGCCCTAAGCAGAGCCCCGGCAGCTGAAAACCTCCAGAACTCAGCCATAGCCATGCTAAAGACCACTCTCCATATGCTCGGACGAGCCTCACACATGAAGGAACCGGCAGAGGAACCCAGGTGTGCGGAATCCATGGCTGAGATCACCACGCATGCTCAGATCGGAACTGGGCTCCTCTACCAGATGCCCAATTTTCCAGTAGCTTGGTAGTCACGCCCACAAATTGCCCCCAGTGCCATGTAATCTCATCAATGGCCAAGATCCAGAAACTAAAACAAAGCTCCTGGAAGAGAGCGATGCATAATTTCCTAGAGCACGAAGCCACAAATGTGCTTATACTCTAGCCCACTAATGTACCTTATATAGCACATATTTGTTTGGTTTTAACATACTTGCTTGTTATATATAGCTTAATTTGCTCCAGAATGAAATACAACAACCTTCATACACGTCCCTCTTATTGTGGTGGGAAGGTGCTCGCTCGTGGGGTGGGTGTTTGAATATTGTCTGTAATGAACTGTTGTGAACTACTTTATGAAAATAAAATGTATAAAAACTGCAAATATATATATATGAAATAATAAAACCTATTAAATTATAACAAAAAGAAGAGGAGCTGGGAATATGGCTCAAAGGAATGGAGCACAGGCTGGCAAGTTCCAGAGTTTGAATCCTGGCACCACCCAGCACTCCCAGCACCACCAGGTATAGTTTTGTTAGCCTTATCAGCAGTGTTCCAAAGTTTTGATCCTTCAGTCAAACACCAACAAGTAAAGTATCTCCGTGGGTAGATCCTGGCCTCCCAACACCCTTAGGTGAGTCTCCCTTTTAAAAAATAAAGAAAAGAAAAAAATCATTTCTACTGACAATCATTTCTAATGACAACTCCTTTGTTATTAAAAAAAAAAAAAACGGGGGGAAGGAAGGAAGGAAGGAAGGAAGGAAGGAAGGAAGGAAGGAAGGAAGGAAGGAAGGAAGGGAGAAAAGAAAAAAAAACCATGAAGTCAGGGAATATGTGTAATATGCTGAGCCTACCCATATCACCTAATATATATAATACTCACACCACTTGTTATTGGTGCTTTTCCAAATATAAGCTAGTTCATTCAATTTTTAAAAACAAGGCAAGAGATCAGAAAGATATTACAAAGGTTAAGGCTCTAGCCTTGCACATGACTGATTCCAATTTGATGTCTGGAACCACATATGGTCTCCCGAGCACGACCAAAAGTGATTCTTGAGTACAGTCAGAAATAAACCAGAGCACCACAGGGTGTGGCTCCAAAACAAAACTAAAAAAATGACTTAATTATGGAAATAAGTAGATTGTAAGTGAAGTAAACCACATGGAAACGCAAAAAAAAGTCATTTCGTTTGAAAATATAAAATCAATGAGACTGGAGAGATAGTACAGCCAGCAGGGTGCTTGCTTCACACACAGTCAACCCTGCTTGAATCCTAATCATCCCATATAGTCCACTGAACACCACCAGGAGTGATTCCTGAATACAGAGCCATGAGTTACCCCTGAACATCTCCGGGTGTGGCCCCAAAGCCAGGAAGAGAAGGAAGGAAAGGAAGGGAAAGGAAGAAGGAAAGGGAGGGAGGGAAGGAGGGAAGGAGGGTAGGAAGGAAGGAGGGAAAGAAGGAAGGAAGGAAGGAAGGAAGGAAGGAAGGAAGGAAGGAAGGAAGGAAGGAAGGAAGGAAATGTATAATCACCTGTAGGCTAACAATGGTTTCTCCTTTCTCCCTTGACACAGGGAATTTAGGTTTATCGGGTACCCATCACAGTGCTCCCGAGTCACTCCCATTCCTTTGCTTATCTGTAACCTCTTTCTTTGTGCCCTGCTTCCCCAACCAGTCTATCACCTTTTTCTCCTAATTAGACTCAGTTAACTTGTAAGGTTAGATCCTTCTAAGGACTATAGTACTGTAGAACTGTCCTCCCATTGTTCATCGATTTGCTCAAGGACACTGGACTTATATTCATAAGCGAAATATTGCTTTTCTCCTTCTCTTATGTCCTTTTGCATAGTTTACTTTAAAACAATGTCCTTTTTTGTGTAGGAAGACAGTTAATATTATGCTTTTGTAACTCCAGTTAATTGACTCCAAATAATATTCACTCCTGGACAACTTAAGCCTCAGTTGCCCTTAGTTCCTAGTACCCCAAAAGCAAGGTCCCGAAAAGGGACTGAATAGACCCAGGGCAAGCTATGAGCTACCCTGGCATAGAAACAGGCCAGACCAAAGTGCCACAATACTTAAGTTAAGAGCATGATTATGGACAAATTCTGTCATGATCCAAAAAGTAACAACTGATCCTGCTAGGGTTAGGAAAGACTAATCTGGTCTGAGCACTATAGTCTGAGATCTATAGTGAGATGGCCCCAGGAGAGCAATCCTATAAGCTTAATGTATCTCTTACTGTGTCCATACAAAATGACTAATATTATGAATGTTTATATGTTTGTTGGGCTAAGGAAAGAAGAAATACACCCATAGATGGAATTTCACTCTTGGATGGGTCTTCTTACTGTATGAAAGTTTGTCCTAGAAGAAGCTTCCCTAAGAGAAGGACATTACCTCTGTTGATTGTATGACCACACTTACGTGTAATTATTACCCCAACCCCTCATGAATTGGGATTTAACTAAGGCATTAAGAGTGGGCTAGGGGAGGCAGAAGCAGGAAGAAGTATGAAGGAGCAGGATCCAAGAGGAGGATGAGGGGGATCAAGGAGGGGAACAGAAGCAGAAGGAGAATCAGAGGAGAAAGGAGATAAGATTGAAATAAACTGCAATTGAGACTATCCAGTTGGGCCCTTATTCCTTCCTTCATCCGACCATCACCATCAGTCATACCGGGGTGGGGGAAGCTGTGCGAGACCACCAAACGCAGGCAGCGAGAGAAGAGCTACCGGGGACTTTTGTCATTTATTTTTTGATTACATAATCACCTACAAATATTCTAATTAAATCATCATTTTTCTGTTGCTATGAAGTCGAAGTGAAAACAGTACATGAAAAGTACTGTAGCACTGTAGCACTGTTCTCCCGTTGTTCATCGATTTGCTTGAGCAGGCATCAGTAACGTCTCCATTGTGAGACTTGTTACTGTTTCTGGCATATCGAATACGCCACAGGGAGCTTGCCAGGCTCTGTTGTGCGGGCAGGATATTCTCAGTAGCTTGCCAGGCTCTCCAAGAGGGATGGAGGAATTGAACCCAGGTTGGCCGCATGCAAGGCAAATGCCTACCCGCTGTGCTATCTCTCCAGCCCACGAAAAGTAGATTGCATTGAAAATAGTAGTTAAGGTGTTTCAATAATTTTTAGGAACAAATACAGTTTATTATGTGTAATATCAAAACTAACAGTAAGTCCTCATTACATTTAAATTCCCATTATCCAAAATATATGATATAATCATATCAAAAGTATTTTAGTCAAAGAGAAATGTTTCATTAAATAAAAATAAGAGGAATTTAAAAGCACAAAGGGACCAGAAAGATAGCACAAGTTTAAGAAACTTGCCTTACTTGAGGCTAACCCTAATTTGAGCCCTGAAATTGCATATGGTCCTCTGAGCACTGCCAAGTATTACCCCTGAGCAGAGTCAGAAATAGCCCCTGAACACCATCAGATGTGAGCCAATGCACCCTGCTCCTGCTAAAATGTATGAAATAACAGTATTACCTACATCAAATTCAATTCATATCAGAAAGCACTCTGCAGTCTCACTTTAACATGTTATCATGAATCATCTTCTAAGACAAGCTCCTATATAAAATAGTTACAATATTTTACTATGTAATTAACCTCAGTTGACATGCCCATTAATCTCTGTAAGTACCATTGAAAACTTGATTGATCCTTAACTACTTTGTTCAACTAAGAGGATTATTTCACTAGCAATAGGAACTACCTAATTCAACTAAAAGGATTATTTCACTAGCAATAAACTCTCTTACCTGCTGTGTGGTTTCTAAGGGTCGAATTCTTTTCTTCTCTACTTGAAAATCATCATTTTCATCCTTACAATCAGAAGCTTGCTTCTTGGCAGACAGCTTTGCAGATAGTGAAGTTCTTTTAGGTGAGTCTTATATAAGAAATTATTTTAAATTAGCATAAATTATGTACAATGAGGCAATTCTTAAAACTGTAATAACAAGTCTGGAAAAGATGGTACAGGGGGTATGGTGGTTGTACTGTACACACCCTTACATCCCCAGCTTTGTATATCAACTTCCAAGCACCATCAGGAATGATCCCTGAGCAGAAAGCCAGGAATAAGCCCTGTGCACATCCAGTTATGGCCTAGAAACGCCCCCTCCAAAAAAAAAAAAAAAGAATCAAGTTTTGAATGCCATAACCGCTTAAACATAAAATGCTAATCATTTTGCAAAGAACTTTTTTACTAAACAGTTTTATAAAGATAAGATACATTTTGAGAAATATGCTTTCAGTAGCAAGGTCTGATTTTAACTTTTTTTAATGTCTTTAAAATAATGTAATTAGGTCCACTAACCACCTCTGCCACCATGTAAGCACATCTACTGGCCTTGTTCCAGAAACTCATAAATAAATCTCAAAAGAGATCAGCTAGCTACAAAAATTTCTCAGACACCTGTTCTTAGCTGAAATATTCAGCACTCTCAGCGGTGGGTTGGTCAGCGCCTGCCTAAACAAAGCTCCACAGCTGCTCACTCCTACACTCCAAAGTCACCAACATGCCTCTGGCCAGACTCCATCACATCAAGATGGAGCCTCACAGAGAAATTAACCTGCCAAAAACTCCAGGCCTTCTTAAAGTCAGGATGAGCTATCTCCCCACAATGCCCTGTACTTCTGGATGCCCAGTCATGCCCACACCCCAAAGCCACCGCCCAGCTAAAAATTTAACTCCAGCTGGACAGCTTCATTCCTCTCTCCCTCTGGATTTCCTAGAGCATGCAGCTGCAAACATGTGACATCTCTAAACTCTACAGCACTGACAATCCAGTTGACACATCAGATTGATTGGAATGCAATGTAGACGCCAATAAATCTCCACTAATAAAAACATTAATACAGAAGGTCTAACTTGTAACAACATCTTAGTAATCCCTCAGGCAAGGACTTAAAGTGTTCATGGTATAATACAATTTTCACTGATTTTCTTCTAAGGAAATACTTTTTGATCATTCTGATAGCAATTTATTGGTAAAAACCAATATGAAATAAATTCTTGCGGGCCTGCTACAGAGGCAAACTTGAGCGTGGTTGGGAGAATTGGAGACAATTATGAAGGGAAGTAACAGTGATGGTGAGATTGGTATTGCAATACTGAATGCCTACAACAAATCATCATGAACAACTTTATAAACCATAGTGTTTAAAGTATGGGGAAAAAAAAAATAAAACAATGTAATTAAAAACCTATAATTGTAAAATGTTCAATATATAAATAAAAATATCACAGTCACTGTTCTCCCGTTGTTTATCAATTTGCTCAAGCGGGCCCAGTATTGTCTCCGTTGTGACAATTGTTACTGTGTTTGACATATCAAGTATGTCACGAGTAGCTTGCCAGGCTTTGCCATGTGGGTGAGATACTCTCGGTAGCTTGCCGGGCTCTCCGAGAGGGCCAGAGGAATCGAACTCAAGTCGGCCATGTTGGCCGCTTGCAAGGCAAATGCCCTACAGCTGTGCTATCGCTCCAGCCCAAATAAAAATATATTTTACTAATATAAAACCTTTTCCGTTACTGTGTCTCAATGTTCCCTTCCTACTAAACTTCTCAATATTCTTTATACTAAAAATAAAATAGAACTAAGCTCCTATTATATACCCTGCTCCTTATAGCCTTTTTAAATTTGAAGTCTATGTTGTCTGATAAAATATAGCAATCACAGCCTTTAAAAGGAATTTGCCTATAAGACTGGATTCTAGACTCTGAGCCTATGTTTACCCTGACTTTTCAGATGTATCTCTTGCAGGCAGACGAAAGTTGGTTTTGGTTTTCTGACCTATCCTGATAATGTATCTCTTAATTAATGAGTTCAGACCATTGACACTTAGTGAGATAACTGAAATGAAGGAATGTATTACAATAATTTTGTAGAAATTATGTGTATTTGTGAAGTTTGTGTTGTCTTTTAAAAAGCTCTTTTAATGTTTCTTGCAAAACTGGTTTCCAATGCTATTGCTCATCCATGAAACTTTGATTAATTCCATTAAATCTGAATGAAAATCTAGCTGGAAAAAGATATCTAGCTGGATAGGTGAGATGTTTATTTCATTAATTTTTTGTTTTCACTATATCCGTCCATTCTCCTCTGGCCTAAAGAATCTCATTTGACAGATATGCTGTGATTCTTATTGGAGTTCCTTTGTATTTAAGTTCATTCTTTGATGTTGCTGCTTCTAAAATTATGTCTTTATCCTTAGCTTTTGTTTGCTTACAATGTGTCTCGGAGGTTTCTTTTCCTTCCTTCCATCCTTCCTTCCTTCCTTCTTCCTTCCTTCCTTCCTTCCTTCCTTCCTTCCTTCCTTCCTTCCTTTTCTTTCTTTCTTTCTAACACCTGGCAATGCTCAAGGGTTACTCCTGGTTCTGCACTTAGAATCACTCCTGGAGGTGCTCAGGGGACCATATGGAAAGCCAGGGATCAAAACCCAGTCAGCTTCGATCATTATCACAATCATCCTGTTGTTCGTCGATTGCCTTGAGCAGGCACCAGTAAGGTCTCCTTCATCCTAGCCCTGAGATTCTAAAAAGTGCCACATTCAAGGCTCTTTCAGGGTTAGGAGAATGAGACCCATCATTGTTACTGGTATTTGGCATAGTGGGTACACCAGGGGGAGTTTGCCAGACTCTGCCATGTGGACAGGTTACATACGGTAGCCTGCCAGGTTGTCCAAAACAAGAATGAGATAATAAGATAATAAGTCAGCCTCATGCAAGGAAAATGCCCTCCCCACTGTCCTTTTGCTCTGGCCCCTGGACTTTTTATATTTGTATATTTTCACTTGATCTTCAGATCTCTTCAATCTGGGTGCATGCACTCAACTCTAAGAAACTCTTATCTATGATTTGACTCCAATTTTTCACTGAATTCACTTTCTTATTCCCCAGGGATTGCAAGGATTCTTATATTGATTCTCTTGAACTCATTCGATAGTTTACTGGTATGCTGTTCATTTCTTTTTGGCCTTCTGTCACTTTCCATTGTTTTCTAGGTTTCCTGAATCTCATTTTGGATCTCACCAACTTTTTTCCTCAGCTGCTATTACTCTGCTGCTGAGGTCTTCAATTGAGTTTTTTAACTGGATCAACCATCTCTTTAATTCTGTCACTTTTGATTATAATTTTCTCATTTCCACTCTCATACTTTCTTACGCTTTCCTTACTACCTATCCTGTTATTTTTTTTTGACTCATTAAACATCCATTATGATACCTCTATAGTCATTATCTCATATAACAGGGTATTTGCTGGATTGTACTAGTAGAGTCTTCTGTGCTATTTTCTTCATCATTGAGCTGGATGGGTTTCAATACAGCTTCCTCATTTATGTCTGCTGTGCTCTGAGGGTGAATCTTAGCAGTTTGTTCCTGTGAGAATACTCTGAGGGATTAAACTGAGTATTTCTCTTTTCTTTCCCTACCAGTCCTCTCCCAGCAACATTTTGCTGTTTCTGATTTGAAAATCACATATCAAGTAGTAAACCTCTTCCACAGAGTTATGTGCTATAGAGGAAAAGGATTTCACCCTTGATTTTACAAAGTAAACAATGTTTAGACTAAACTAAAGTCATGGCAATCCCTTTCTGCCCTGTCAATTATTTATTATGAAATAATAAGAATGAAGATGGAAAGAAGTTATTGCATGCTCTAAATAGGAGATTGTAGTTTGAACTAGGAAAGTATCTATGAAAATAAAGATCTGTATGGAGGGCAAAGTAAGAGTAAAGTATATAAGATGTCTCATAGGTTTCTGATGAGCAAATGACTGTCAATCCTTTCCATATAGTCAAGAAATATCTTAAGGGGGCTGCAAAGATTGTAGAGAGTCAGGGTGCTTTTCTTGTACACAGATGACCTACGTTTGATCCCCTGGTTGCCTGAGCCCCGACAGGAGTGATTCCTAAGCAGAGAACCAGGAGTAAGCCCTGAGCACTATCAGGTGTTGCCCCAAAACAAACAGATTAAGAAGCATTTGAAGTTAATCATAATATTATGTTATTCGTAATAAATTTTTCTTAAATATATTTATTAATAGTTATTTAAGACATACCTGATCCTCATGTAGGATACTGTTCTCAAAAACTCAGGCAAACTTATCAGAAGAAACAGGATTAATTAGATTTTGCCATACATACGCTGTATGCTAACTAAATTAACCTAAATTAGTTCAAGAACTAAGGCAACAGCAAGAAATCCAAGTAAAATATGAATTACCTTGATGAGTTGATGTGCCATTTTTTTCAGATGTTGATGTACTCGGGGTGTTGAAATGATGTGAAGTTTCTTGGTCCACATCATTGTTTAAAATATTCTTTGAATGGCATGTACAACAACAAGACAATGGTACTTCAGCTTTTTTACTTGAGCCTTCATCCACTGGTTTCTCTGAGGGAAAAAAAAAAATCCACTATTTTAAATATGGGTTGTTGGGGGGAGGGGGGCTGTTTGGCAGTGCTACGGGAATTATAAGGGATGATAGGGATTAAAACCAGGTCAGTTCCATGCAAGGGAAGTGGCCTACCGGCTGTACAATCTCCCTAGCCCCTACTTAAAATGTTTAATTAAAAAAATTAATCTTCTTGCACAAAAGGTGAGTTAATACCCCATTAAACCCAGGATTGGGAGATTTCCCAGTATACAAGATGTTCAGTACTAAAATTGGGAAAGTTCTGGCAATTCTGGACAAGTGGCTATTCTATTTGCAATACCAAATAAGTAGTGACAAATTTATTTCAAAAAAAGAGAAGTTATATCAATTTACATAATAAAAATATTTTATATATTTTAATATATTTAGTATTATATTTAATTTTTTATATTTCTATTATATTCACTCCAGGGGGACTGGAGTGAAAATGCAGTGGATAGGGCGCTTGTCTTGCACACAGCCAACTCAGATTCAACGCCTGGCATCCTACACAGTCCCCAGTTACTGCCAGGAGTAACCTCTGAGCATCTCTGGGTATGGTCCCAAAATAAACAAAAAACACAATATCTACTATTTTAAATATTCAACATACTGTCAATAGCACAAGAATTTCCTTTTATAAAACATATAGTGTAAATTAATATTCTAGCCAGGGATATGGCCAAAGGATAGATCACATGCATTGCATGTGTGAGGCCCTGGATTTATCCCCAGCACCACATTCTCTCTCCCCTCAAAGTATAGACTACATGCATTGCATGTGTGAGGTCCTAGATTCATCTCCAGCACCACAATCTCTCTCCCCACAAGTGGCTCCTACACACAATTTTTTTTTTCTTTTTGGGTTACACCCGGCAATGCACAGGGGTTATCACTCCAGCCCCATCTACACACAATTTAAAAAAAAAAATACACACACTTCTCTTTCCTCTCCCTCTCCAACTGCCTATCTCTCTGTCTCCCACTTCTCCTCCCCCTCCTTTGCCTTGCATGTGGTAGACCAGGAGTGATCCCAGGCTTAGAGGCAGGAGTAAATCCTGAGCACAGTGGGGTGTGGTCCTCCCCCCACATTACCCCCAAAAATTACCAGAAAAAAAAAAACCACCACTGTTTTAAGTAAAAAATCCATCTAATTACATAACTAAAATGTATCTAATATTACAGTTCATATTCATTGTTATGTTTTTGTAACAGTCAATAGCTCTACATTGATTAACAAAGTAAAAACAATGCTGAACAATATACAAAAAAATACAAAAAATTTCTGATTTTGTGTAATCCGAATAAACAAGTGAAACAGATTGATTTGAATGTTTTGTTATTGTTTTGGGGCCACACTGGAAGTGCTCAGGGCCTACTCCTGCTGTGCTCAGGGATCACTTTTGAAGGGGCTCAAGGGAGTGCAGGGAATGCTGGGGACAGAATCCTAATCAACCCAGACAAGACAAGCATCTTCCTCACTGTACTATCTCTCTGCCCCCTACTTTCATTTTCAAAATATATTTCATGTTTTAATGTTATAAGAAACTAATAAGCAAATATATTAAAGGATTTATGCCCACAAGTGATTACTATAATAGCACAAAATGACAGTCCCATCTCTTATAATTTTTTTCATATAAATTACAACTTAATTATTTTTATGGTGATGATTAAACATTCCAAGATTCTTATGTATTCTCTGAATCAAATAATGGACATTATGTCCAAAATTATTTCAGGATTAGTTCAATGTGTTTTGCTATATAGAAATTCTCTTAGAAGATATACAGCTTATTATAAAAGAAGTATCTTAGCAGGAGACATTACACAATGATAGAGCAAATGACTTTCCTTGGGAGGTCCTAGGTTCCATGCCCAACACACACACAAAAATAAAGAAACACTTTTTGGAATTTAAACTTTTAATTTAAAAAAGAGAGAATTAACTAGAACATTGTTGAACTATTAAGGGCAAAAAGTACTTTATTATAGCTTTTCACATAGATTTTTCAGGTCGCAATAAGCAACAGAAGTACCAGTCAACTGCTTACCACAAAGAGACTGTTGCCATGCTAAAGCAGAACAAAGTAAAGCTAAGCTTTTCCCACTTCCTGTGGGGCTCTCCAACAAACAGTGCTGTTTACTGTTTAATCCTCTGACAATCTAAGACCACAAAAAGAAAAAAAAAATCAGTTAACAATTTACTTCATTAGGGTTTCTTTCTCTCCATCAGATAGAAATATGACCAAGAGAAGAGAGATTATACAATTCAAGAAACACAGCAATAACAGAAGAACTGAGGCTGGGGTGATAGCACAATGGGTAGGGTATTTGCCTTGCATGCGGCCAACGCGGGTTTGACTCCCAGTATCCCATATGGTCCCCAAGCACAGCCAGGAGTAATTCCTGAATGCAGAGCCAGGAGTAATTCCTGTAACCCCTGTGCATCACTGGGTAAAGCGACAACAACAACAAAAAAGAACTAAATTCATTAAATTTAGGCTTGAATTCCTAATACAGTGCTCTAAAATTACAAGGCCTTAAAGCCTAACTTCAGGCAGGGGAGGGATGTGGCTCAGTCATCTAGCTCACACCTTGCATGTAGGAAGGAAGTCCTGGGTTGGATCCCTAACACACACACACACACACACACACACACACACACACACACACACAGTCTATCAAACACTAAATAAAGCAGTTTGTGCCTTAATTATGCAAGCATCATCAATTTTGTAAAACTAGAGTACACTAATCATTTTAATGAAATTTCATTGGGTATACTAGTGGCAATATAAACTGTTACAACCACTTACTATAGAAATTAACAATTTCTAATAAAGTTGAACACACTCCAACCCAGCAAGTTCAGTCCTATATAAAGATTCGAACTATTTGTACCAGAACACAAGGAAACACATATAAGAAAGCTCATAGCTCACAGCCAGGGGTGATCCCTGACTACAAAACCAGGAGTAAGCCCTAAGCACAAGCAAGTAAGGTCCAAGTACACCAAAAATATAAATTTTTAAAATTTTAGATTTTTACTGTCACTGTCACTGTCCTCCCGTTGTTCATCGATTTGCTCGAGCGTCGATTTGCTCGAGCGAGCCCAGTAATGTCTCCATTGAAGACTTTGTTGTTACTGTTTTTGGCATATTGAATATATCACGGGTAGCTTGCCAGGCTCTGCCGTGCGGGCAAGATACTCTCGGTAGCTTGCCGGGCTCTCTGAGAGAGGCAGAGGAATCGAACTCAGGTTGGCCATGTTGGCTGCGTGCAAGGCAAACGCCCTACCGCTGTGCTATTGCTCCAGCCCTTAGATTTTTAAATGTTAATTAATAGAAAACAAAATTCTGGTATTCATACAGAGAAACATTAAACAATAATTAAAACTAACAGTCAACTGAGCTACTTCTTTGGAAGGTGCCAGGTGCGGCGAGAGAAGGATCAACAGGCTGAGCAAATGCTTTGCATATGGGAAGCCTAGGTTTGATTCCTGACATTGCATGCCCCTCTAAGTACCGCCTAAGTTATCCCTGAACAGAGTGGCAGGAGTTCATATGCCAGGTATGAAACCAAAGTCAAAATAAATAAATTTATTTCTATAAAATATGGGCTGGAACGATAGCAAAGGGCGTAGGGTGTTTGCCTTGCACGCAGCCAACCAGGCCGACCCGAGTTCGATTCTTTCATCCCTCTTGGAGAGCATAGCAAGCTACTGTGAGTATCTCGCCCACCCAGCAAAGCCTCGCAAGCTCCCCGTGACGTATTCGATATGCCAAACACAGTAACAACAAGTCTCACGATGGAGACGTTAGTGGGCCCGCTCCAGCAAATTGATGAACAATGGGAGGACAGTGCAGTACAAAATATAGATACAGTATATAATTGTGCAAAGTTTAAAAAATATGTAGGGGCTGGAGTGATAGTACAGTGGGTATGGTGTTTGCCAGCCAACCCGGGATCAATTCCCAGCATCCCATATGGTCATATCGTCCCCTGAGCACCGTGAGGAGTAATTCCTGAGTGCAAAGCCAGGAGTAACCCCTGTGCATTGCCGGGTGTGCCCCAAAAAGAAAAAAATAATAATAAGGAACCTCTATAGACACATACATATATAGTAGCACTGTAGCACTGTCCTCCGTTGTTCATCAATTTGCTCAAGGAGGCCCAATAACATCTCCATGGTGAGACTTGTTACTGTGTATGGCTTATCAAATATGTCATGGGTTTGCCATGCAGGCAAGATACTCTCAGTAGCTTGCCAGGCTCTCCAAGAGGGGCAGAGGAATCGAACCCAGATCGACCGGGTCGCCCGCGTGCAAGGCAAATGCCCTACCCACTGTGCTATCGCTCCAGGCCACATATATAGTAAAAGTATAAAAATGACAAACAAAATAAATTCAGGATACTAGAAATCGTGCTATATATAAATAAAATATAAAGCAAATATGACAAATATTGGGATTTAACAAAGCAACAAAAATGGTTTACTCAAACCTATACATTAATTTTTTATATTAATAAATATCTTTAAAATATATGGGGAGAAATGCTGGTAAACTATATTAAAATACTTAGGAAAAAACAGCGATAGAAGTTCCATGAAATAACATTTTTCAGAATATTTTCCTTTGTCCCTTAACCATAAATGCAATTTATTAGTAGTCATCGATTTTAATTCCCAACAGTTAAATGTTCTTCAATAAACCCAGAAAATATTTTTAAATGAAGCCACAGATGTTATAAATTATAGCATCTTTCTTCTTTTTTTTTTTTTTTTTGCTTTTTGCTCCTCCGCCCCTCTCGGAGAGCCCGGCAAGCTACCGAGAGTATTTGATATGCCAAACACAGTAACAACAAAGTCTCCAATGGAGACGTTACTGGGCCCGCTCGAGCAAATCGACGATCAACGGGAGGGCCTTTACCTTGCTTTTTTGCACTCAGGAATTACTCCTGGCGGTGCTCAGGGGATCATACGGGATGCTGAGAATCGAACCCGGGTCAGTCAGGTGTAAGGCAAACACCCCACCCACTGTTCTATTGCTCCAGTCCCCATTATAAGCATCTTTTGTAAGAACTTAAAATAACTTCTGAAAAATACTTACAGAATTCATCATAGCAAGCTGTGATGGATATGCTCTACATGGAAAATTAATCTTCACCCCACCAATTGTATATTCAGACCACACTGAAGACATGCTTTCTTTTTTACTTCAGAATCCTAACTGCAACAGAAATGAAAATCAATACAGAATCAATGAAACAAAATCAGATTTCCATGACTAGGACAAGTCTAGAAATAAACACTGAAATTAATAAACACCTAAATGAAAGCAAAAGAATCTCCTGGTCTTTATTGTAAAGCATGGTGGTTAAGAAGCGCATGTCTTGAATCTGGACATGACTGGAAAATAAGATACAAACACGGAACTGTATCCCTAGTCCATCATCTATTCAGATGTGACTCTGAGCAAGTTCTTAACTTCTCTAGCACTGAAGGCTTCTGTATCATCTGGAAAATCAGCATAATAATAGTTTTACATTATGGGATCTTTGTAAAGATTCAATGAAATAAGGTACAAGAAAGATACAGTTACAGGTTCAATAAAATGTGACCTCTTGTAAAAAAATTAGATCAGCTGTAATCAACCTATAATTAACAAGACCTCTTAAGTGCACCACCTTCTCCTTTTAATCTACATCTTCTTGTTTCCTTTGTACAATCTTCCAGTTAGAAGAAGTAGTTAGGAAGTGTAAATCTATCAGGTTAAAATCCACTCAGAAAGTCCTTTAAATGTTTCTTAGTTAAAATCCTGCTCTGAGGGCTGAAGAGAGCTCAAGGCTGCTGAGTGCCTGGTAAGACACAGTTCATCCCTGACATCCAGTAGTAGCCTCTTTAGCACCACAAGGTGGTGTGGACCCAAAACAAAAGATCCTACTTCCTAATACTTGGAAACTGTAAGGAGACTACGCCTTGTCATGGACTAGATATTTGATAATCCTTATTTAAAAAGAGTGTATATATAATATGTATGCACACACATATACATATATATATGAAAGAAAACAGGAATTTGAAGAAAGGTCAAGTTTTAAGTCTGAATTCCGCTGTGTAACTCAGGTAACCTCCCAGAGCCTATCTCTTCAGCTGAGGGATGGCGCTATCTACCTACCAAGAAATGTCTTCAAAAAAATTAGCAAGACACAAAGCTAAGGAATAAACTAACGTGCACAAGCAAGTTGCTTAAAACTCCACTGTCTGACAGAAAGCAATGCACTTCCATCTCCAACTCCTCATCTCCATCTCTCAGCCCGGGTCCATGAAACTGGGGCACTTTGGCCTCCTGATACTGCAAGAAGTTTCTGTGCATGTTTGCATTCCCCTGAAGAGAAAATTCATAGGTCAGTAATCGACTGACGAATTATGCATAATGACTTAGAAAATAATAATCAATCTGGGGACTGAAGGGATGGGTCCAGAGGGATCGTTTAAAGTACAATTTAATTATAAACACATAATAATCATGACCATGTTCCAATACTGTTCCAAAAAATAGCTAAGAATCACTGTTGACCTTTACTTTCCTGTCCCGATGCCTTGTGATTTTAAATAGAAACACTGAGAACTAGGCTTGGTGCACTCTAAACCCTTAATCTGAACCAACACAGAACTACCATAACTTGTTACTAGACAAAACCCGAGAAACCAATTCGCTCCCACCTGACTAAAATGATGCCTTTCCCCTTCCACGCCCCCCCCCCCCCCCACACACACACACCGATAATCAGGAGCCACGACCCTCCCGGAGCCCCGCAGCCGCCCCTCGCGCCCCGGGTATCAACTGGCTTCCGGGCCCGAGGGAAAGCACCGAGGGATGCAGCACCGCAGCTTTTCTTCTCACACAACCCTTCCTCCTCAGAACCGAGATACCCCAACGCTGAGGAGGTGCAGCCCACACCCTGCGGTGCGAGGCCGTGGGCGAAGAAGACAGGGGGCATTTTTCTGGCAGTTTCAACTTGCCCGGACCGAGGAAAAAAAGAGTAAAGCAACGCTGACTGGGTTCCGTTTCCTGGGAGAAACGGAAACCGGTGCTGAAAGCAAAAATCGCGAGCATACAAAAGTTACAAGACTCTCTGCACCTGGGCCACTGCTTCCCGTAGTGACAGGTCCTAGCCTCGCGGACGCTTTACCTCTTCTCTGCAGCTCGCAACTGATCTTCTCTTTCTCTGTCGCCCGGACGAATTCCCGCCTCCCACCTTCGTCTTGCAGACATCCAATCCCGGAGCGAGCTCAGACAGCCAATGACCTGCTAAGACCGAAAAAACCAATCAGCCAATCTCAGCTCGAGGCTCAGGGCGCGAGGATTCGGACACCCAATGGAAATCTCCGCGCTAAGAATCGGCTCTAGGTGCTTTGGCGGCACCGGAAGGTAAATATCACAAGATAAGTATCCGAGGAACTTAATGGATTGCATCCCGGGAAATGGTAGTTCTCTGCTTGATTTTGAAACCGCTGAGATAATCCGTGCATCAGTTAAAAAAATCGGAAATTTACAACGGAGAGAGGAGAGAGGAATTGCCTCTAAGCATTCTTTCTGAGCTTTTAAATTGTGTCTCTCAATTTAAATTTCCGACTTTTGACAAGACAGAATATCGTAAAGATTGAGGCGGGAATTCCCGAAGTTTTGAGCCAACTTGCTATGGTACCTTAAAATATTCAAGCCTTCCCAAATACCAAATCAACCCCCAAACTGCTTGCGGGGCCTCAACCCCAACTTCTACCTCCACAAAGGCTTTTCTGGAGGAAGAAGAGGAGGAGGAGAGGGAGAGGAGGAGGGCAAAGAGGAAGAGGAGGTTTGTTTTTCAAGACATTCTCGATAGCCGAACCAGGCTCAAAACTCGTGAACCTTACAAAACCAAAGCTGAGTGAGTCCAATTCGAGTTAAGGGAACAGCAGAAGAAAAGTAGATTCAACTTTCAGTTTCAATCTTCCCAAAATGGCAAAACAAGTTATAAAGTTAATCATTCCCTTTAGTCATCTCAAGCTCAGAAAGTTATCTAAAAATAAAAAAAAAAAGATGGGACAGGAGAGACAGTACAACAGATAGAGTACTTGCTTTGCCCCTGCACCACATATGGTCCTCTGCGCCCCAGCGGGAGAGATGACTGAGCAAAACGGGAGTAGCCCAAACACCAAAAAAGAAAAGAAACAAAAAGGTTTTAAGAATGAAAGAGGAAAAGAAAAAAAAAAAAAAGAAGAGAGACAGTTCAGGAGGTAACTCTTACCTCCCTCTGTGTGACCCTGGTTGGACCCAGCACCATGGCATATGGTCCCTTCAGAACACAACCTGAGCTCAGGACAAGAACTTCTGACACCATTGGGGGTGGTCCAACACCCACCCCCATAACAAAAACAAATTGATTACAGTAAAAATTACTTTCCGGTCTAATAATAAGATAATGAAATAACTCCATTGTAATTGACAATACTTAAATCTAAACAACTTGCAAGAAAAAAACCTACATAGAGGGGCCAAATACCACTTACCTCCCAAAGGCTAGGGTTCAATGCCAGCACCCCATACGGTCGATCACCCCTTCCCCAATCCCACCCCGAGTGACCACCTGAGCACAGAAACATGTATAAGCTTTAAGCACTGCTGGTGCACCCAACCTCCCACGCCACCCACCCCCCCCAAAAAAAACCGACAAAGTTAAATGAAAAATTCTCAGTGGCCAGACCAATATAGTACAGCAGATAGGGCATTCCGAATGGTCCCCTGAAAATCGCCAGGAGTAATTCTTGAGGTCAAAGCCAGGAGTAGGCGTAAGCCCTGAGTACAGCAGGATGTGCCCCCCCCCAAAAAAATTTTAAAAATCTGACTCAAAATACGCAAAAAAAAAATCTTAAAATACTATTCTGCTTTTACAGTATTTTTTTTTAAACTATTGGGTTTTTAGGTTTGTTTTGGCTTTTGGGGTCAAATCCAGTTGATGCTCAGGGATTACTCCTGGCAGTGCTTGAGATATGGGATGGCAGGGATCCAACCCCGGTTGGCCTCATGCGAGGCAAATACCCTGCCAGCTGTATTATATAGCTTATTATATAGCTCCAGCCCAATATCTGATGTTCTCAAGTATCTGTTCCAGGATAACCATTTTGATTTCCTCTCTTCAATTCCAGAAGCCCTCAAAGGACTCAATCTTGTTTTGTCATATGATGTATGTGCCCTAAAAGAAAAGTACACACATGGGCTCTTGAGTTCCAATGCCCTGAACTGTTGTTCCTTTCAGATTATTAATAGCAGAATTAAACACAAAATACTACAAGTTCATTTGATAAAGCATATGAATGTTTATAATCCAATATTCAAAATAGCTGCACACATCTGTTTTCACTTGAATAAAAAAATCACATTGTGATAGATTTTATAACCTTAACTTAGAAATACATGAATATCATCATTTACTAATATATTTACATGTATTATTTACATCAACAAATCTGATGAAAACAGCACGTTATTATTTTAACACAGCAGGTTTTGACGAGTCTTTAAAAAATGATCCAGGAATGTGTACTGCATTTAGGTGGAAAACATATTTCAATCCTTTCTGAGTTCCTAGAGGTTGCCTACTCAAAATATTTTAAAGCCTCAATTTAAGAAAACCAACACAACGAAAAAATAAACAGGAGCAGTTAAATTTCATTTTAAAAGACTACAAAACTCCCTTTAAAAAAAATATGAAAATTTGAGGCTGAGTAATAGCACAGCGGATAGGACGTTTGCCTTGCACACAGCCGACCTGGGTTCGATTCCCAGCATCCCATATGGTCCCCTGAGCACTGCCAGGAGTAACTCCTGAGTGCAGAGCCAGGAGTAACCCCTGTGCATCGTCGGGTGTGACACAAAAAGCAAAAAATTTTTAAAAAATTAAAAAATATGAAAATTCTTACGGGTTTTTAAGTGTATGTTTTATTTTTCAATCAAAAGTACTTAATTGAACATTAAGCATCTAATAAAAGTTATAAATATCCTATGATTCGGTGCACTTCATTATTTGAAACATCTACAAATTGGTTCTTAACACCCTTATGAGGTAGGGTCAGTAGTAATCCAATTTTTAAAAGGAAGAAAATGAGATACGACTATTTCCTAGTGAAAATGATGAAATTAAATCTCATTTCTTAAAAATCACACATCATTAGCTTCAAGTGACAATTGTGAGGAAAAATGTGTGATTTCAGTATAATTCAGAAAGCAAATAGAAGTATCTGGATTGGGTACTTATGGAGAGAAAATGAGGATTATTGATTACTTGTATGCATCTAGCAAATAAAAGTTATTAACAGAGAACTGAAAACCCTTCAGCAATATTTCTGTATTTTAATCTTTCCTGAGGTCCAAACACTATATATAGTCTTATTCAAATATCTTTTAAAATTATGATGTGAATCATAATCCTGATGAGAGACCAAGAGCTCTTTAACCAGTGGGTTTACTGCTCAAACTTTAATTACATACTAATGTAATTCTCCCTCTGCTCATTAGATAAATAAAGCATTATAAAAATAAATTTAAAAAAAACTAAATGAGACCTCTTTTCAGGTTCTCTTCTGCACAATGATGTTTCTGTAAACACTTTTAAACCAGTATTTTAAAATTCCAAATTATTCAAGTATCTCTTTAAAGATATGGCTTCATATACTAGTAAAAATTGAAGCAAATGTGTAAAAAGTAAAACCCCCATCTGTAATTCCATGGAAATCATTTACAAAAAGGTATTTGCCTTTTTTAAGTCTTCTCAATACTATTTATTGAGAACTGGAATTCCATCACATTACTATTACTTGCTTGGAAAATTTTTGAGGTTTCTATTTGGATATCTCCTTGCTTTTCCTGAATTCTCCCATTCCTTCCCTTATCTCCCTCTAATCATTGCATCACTGTCACGCTATTATAAGCTGTGACATTTAAAAATGAAGGTAAAGACATAGTAGTTTTTCTTTACCTAATTTCAAGACCAAATTTAACTCCCCAGGAATCAGTTTCTTGCATATTCTCTCAACCAGAAAAAGAAAATTTCATCTGCTGCAATCTAAACATCCACCACAAGAGATCCAAAGAACTGCCAATCAATTACAAGCATAATTCAAGAAAGTTCTAAACTGTATTTATGTTAAACTGAATCATTTTAGTGATTCCAAGATGCTATTGTTCCCATTCAGTTTAAAGTTCTTGAAAGATGCAGGTTCATGTTGGGTATTCTCAGTAAACGGCTTCATTTTTTCAAAAGTTTTTTTTTTTTTAAATTCCACTAACACTCATGTTTATTATTTCAATTATTGTGCTTTCAATACAATGACAAAGCTGTACATCAGGATCCATGCTTCCAGTGTCCCTGGATCCATTTTTATAAGATAAATCTTTACAGATTCCAGACCATCCACTTGGTTTCTCCTTCATTTGTTGAAGACCTGAAACAAAAGGGAAAAAAAATTAGGCAATGAATCTAAAAGATTTCAGACTTTTTGAGATATTAAAATAACTGTTAAGGTGCGAGAGCAATAGTACAGTGGGTAGGATATTTGCCTTGCATGCAGTCAACCCAGGAATGATCCCTGGAGCCATGTGGTTCTCTGAGCTCACCAGGAATATTCCTGAGTGCAGAGCCAGGAACAACACCTGCCCACTGCCAAGAGTGGCCCCAAAACCGAAAATAAGATAATTGTTAAAAATACATTTGGAAAAGTGTGATCATAAAATGCGTAATGTGATTGCCTTGCATATGGCCAACCTAGGTTTGATACCGGGCACCCATATGGTCCCCAAATCCTGCCAGGAGTGATCCTAAATATAGAATCAGGAGTAACCCCTGAGCAGTGCTGGGCATGACTCCAAAACAAAACAAACCCCAAAATTACTACTTACGTGTAATAATTGGATCAATATCTCTTGTCTGAGTGGCAACATCAGATGCACAGACTTGCCCTATTTGGATCAGCAAAGACATAATATCCTCATATAGTGGAGGAAATGCTCGACAAAAAGAAACTAAACTTGGCAGAGTTGGCATGAAAAAAGCGTATCGCTTAGCCTGTGTTAAGACTGTTGAAAAGAAATGAAATGCAATTTTTAACTTTAGAGATATCAGTTCAACATACA